TCTGCAAAAAGCAGAGACGAGATCCTGTGGTCCCCAAACCGGACTCCCTCCGGCCCCTGGCTGCGCCTAGAAATTCTGTCCATAAAAATAATGAACAGAACCGGTGACAAAGGGCAGCCCTGCCGGAGTCCAACACGCACTGGAAACAAGTCTGACTTACTACCGGCGATGCGAACCAAGCTCCTGCTCCGATCGTACAGGGACCGGGCGGCCCTTAGCAAAGGGCCCCGGACCCCGTACTCCCGGAGCACCCCCCACAGGGCGCTGCGAGGGACATGGTCTAATGCCTTCTCCAGATCCACAAAACACATGTGGACTGGTTGGGCAAACTCCCATGAACCCTCCACCACCCTGAAGAGGGTATAGAGCTGGTCCAGTGTTCTACGACCAGGATGAAAACCGCATTGTTCCTCCTGAATCCGAGGTTCGACTATCGGTCGAATTCTCCTCTCCAGTACCCTGGCACAGTGGGGACAGTGCCTCACAGTGGAAAACCAAGTCAGTTATTCTTCAGGGATATGATCCTGCCCATTTAGGAAGCAAAAGTAATTGTGAATCAATTTCACCTGCTTTGGTGTAAATAAAAATGACAACAGGTGCAATGGAGATGCTTTCTCTTAATCTTTCCCAGTAGGTTAATTGGTCAGGGAGGGTGGACCTGCAGGCAGGTAGAAATATCAACATTTAAAAAACGTTGATATTTTTGCCTGGTGTTCACCAGTTTGTCAATCATTTTATACTGTCTTTCTGAGCTTGCTGGTGTGTGGAACTGTGGCATTGCACAGGGCAGGGCAAGCTTCCATCACGTCTGCAGTGGCAGAGCTAGAAGCATCCTGGCCACTGTTACAGCGTTATTTTGGCCTGGTTTTCCTTCTGTGCTCAACCTTTCTTCATGTCTGCTTTGAGTCAGAGCCTTTGATGTTGAACTGAACACACAATTCTAGCTCGAGTTACTGTCAATCAAACTTTATCTTCATCTTAGCTGTAAGCATGTTTAAGGCATGCCCTTGGTAGGGACACAAGAATAGCAGTAACAGTGCAGGACAGTGATATGCATAAAAGACTTTGTGCCTGTTTTCTGTCTTCTGACTGATTACTCTCAAGTTTTATGTTTTGCTAGTGCCCTTGTGACTACTGGCAGCATGAAGCACTACATGCAGATCAATCAGACTGAACAGATTACTCCAAAATGGCACATACATACATGCAGTCACAAAAAGGTTTAGCTGTTTCTCCCAGAGCATGGTGGATGGTCTTAAATGGCTTTTGTATGCCATGAAGCACACTCAAAATGTTTTATGCTACTTTCCATTCTGTCATTCACACACAGTGACTGGGGGGTCAGTGTCTTGCCTAAAGGTACTTGGACATCTGAACTGGGGAAGCCAGGATTTGAATCACCAACCCTCTGGTTAGGGAACAATCTACTCCACCTCCTGAGCCACAGCCTAGGAGACACCGGTAGATGGCCATTACACCAGGAGAGCTGGACAGGGCCATAGAAAGGCAACAACCCAGCAGCAAGACTGGTATCTGCTCCTTTGTGCAAGGGGGGATATGAGGAGCACTGAGAGAGGCCTACACAATGACCTCCAGTGGCTGCTGGTGTCCATGTTTCTGACCAAACTGTCAGAAGAAGACTATATGAGGGTGGCATGAGGGCCCACCATCCTCTAGTATGGCCTGTACTCACAGCCCAGCACTGTGCAGCTAGACTGGCATTTGCCAGAGAACACCAGAATTGGCAGATCTGCCACTGACACCCCGTTCTCTTCACAGATGAGAGCAGGTTCACACTGATCACGTTACAGGCGTGAAAGAGTCTGGAGATGCCGTGGTAAACATTATGCTGCCTGTAACATCACAGAACATGATGGTTTGGTGGGTGAGTGATGGTCTGGGTAGGCATATCCTTAACTACCCAGACCTCCATGTCATACGGACCGGTACCCTGGCCACTGTGAGGTACCGGGATGAAATCCTCAGAGTGATTGGGTTCCTCCTGGTGCAGGACAGTGCCTGGCTTCATGTAGCCAAAGTGTGTAGGCAATTCCTGGATGATGAAGGCATTGATGCCATTGACTGGCCTCCATGTTCCCCTGACCTAAATCCAAATGAGCATTTATGGGACATTATGTATCGGTGCATCTGACGCCACCAAGTACCACCAAAGACTGTCCAGGAGCTCATTGATGCCTTGATCCAGGTCTGGGAGGCGAGCTCCCAGGGCACCATCCACCAACTCCTCAGGAGCATGTCCAGACTTTGTCAGGAGTGCATACAGTCACGTAGGGGCCATACACACTTCTGAGTCACATTATTAACTAAGTTACCATTATTAACTAAGTCATCATGGCGCCATGTATGGCTGCCTTGGTAGGGCACGCCCTGTTCAGTTGAGTTCATGTGTTGTTTTTCCTCGTTTTTGCGGTTAAAGGCTCTATTCTATTATAAAGCCACGTCCGGTTCTTTCAAACCAGGAACTCAGTGAGACGAAGCAGACCACTTGAGTATATAAAAAAATATAACCGTGCTGGTTTATTCAAGGAGTCACAGGCAAGAATTAACATTACACGTCCAGGCATTTTGCACCCCCAAAACTGCGCGCAGGCAGCCCGGAAGAAGAAAGACCCTGAACCCAAGATCTCTATACAATTTAATCACTTCGTTGGGCTAGCCCCATCCAGCCCCATCCTACACAGGCAACGTCAAACCGTGACGTCACCTGATATGCCAGCTTGGCAGCTGACCAGTGCAGTAGACAAAACATGGAGCCAATAATGTGTGTGAATGTTGATTATGTGGTGTGTATCTAAAAACATACAGGACATTCAGGACATGTCCGAACAGTAAGCCTCGGAAAATGTTATGAATAAGATTACGGCTGAGCATATCATGCTACTAGCAATATTCATCTGCACTCTTCAATCTAGTGACCTTGGCCTAGATGCAGCCTGCAGAACTCATGACAATGAACTGATCATTTAACAGCCTGAGCATAGACATCCTGTCTCCACTAAACATTTCTAGACAACAAATCTCTGAATATCTATCTAACTAAGAAATTACCTAACACGGTCTTCTGCAACCCATCCTGGATTATCTTCACCAGAGAAGAACTATTAAACATCAGACAACTCACTCCGGACACCCTTTCTCTGATTTTTGATAAATCAAAAAGCTGCATAGAAATTCTGGTCTGAAGGGCAACAACCCTTTATGGGACTTCGGTGAGTGAAGAGAGTGGGGGTCCTGGTTAAGTTGCAACAGAGGGACTCATACGCCGATCTTGTCTATTCATCTAGCAAATCTTCACTCTATAGCCAACAAAATGGATGAACTCACTGACACTGTGACATACATCAGCTTTTGTGATGATGTGCGTGCCCACCAAGTCCTTCTGCACATACAACAACAACAAGCTCTGGTTCACAATAAAACTCAAGCAGCTTTGTCATGCCAAAAAGGAGGCCTGCAGAAGTGGGGACAGAATCCTGTACAGCCAGGCCAGGAACACACTGACAAGTAACATCAAACTAACAATGAGGAGCTACTTTGAAAAGCTGAAAAACCAGTTTTTAGCCAACAACCCCTCGCCTGTTTGGAGAAGCCTGAAAAACACCACTTGCTACAGAAAAACACCACCCTGCTGTGGAAGACCATCAATTGGCAGATGACCTGAATGTGTTTTAATGTAGATTTGAGAAGCAGCCCTCATCCACCTCAACTCAGACCCAGCAGCTGCTCCCCCCACAATCACCACCATTCCCCCCACACCCGCAGCCCTCAAGCTCTTTGAAAAAGG